ATATATAAAAAGCAATGGCACATTTCCACTCCTGTCCCAGCACTGCAGCCCGCAGGCTGAAGGAATTTGCTGGGTCACCTTTCCACGGGAAGGGCTGAAGTGTCCTGACCCAGAGGCCTTTGGGTGTCAGACATACCAACAGCTGCAGGGTGACACAGTGAAGTGGAAGTTGGGAACAGATCATGCTGCCACATGCCCAGCAGAGACTTTTGCTACTGCCCCTTCCAACACTTTACAATTCAGGGTGCTCCTGGTTTGACTCTCCAAGACTCATGCAGGCTCTACAAAGACAGCAATGATGTTTCTTCATCTTTTTACCCTTTTTTCCCGTTTCAAGACAGCAGTTATTTCATAACCTCCATGTCTCTATAGTTGACAGTTATTCTTAGGCAACCACAAGCTGTGAAGTGTCTAGCTAAAACAAAATATACATGCTGTGCGTACCATGAACTGCTCTTCAGCCAGCAGGGCACACACAACAGACCTTGTTGCTTCATGAACTAAAACAAGGTAAGAAATATCAGGTAAGGCTTTCCCTTTTTGTGAGACGTGAGCAGGCGCTAAAAGAGAAGAGGAAAAAACCTGTAGTTACCTAACGGTGGCCCAAATCCTTCAGATCAGGCGTGCAGAAGCATGTGAGTTTCTGTGGAAGCCTGATTTATATTAATCAAACCAGCACTGAAAAACATTACCACAAAATTTATTCTAATACCTGTTGTACCACACTCTAAAAATAACAAAAGAAAACAAGCTGAGATAAAAGATATTTGCTGTCAAAGGTGGGGAAATACCTTCACAAAGCCACAATGTTGGCTTCCTCTAAGAAATTAATCAAGAGTGGTAGACATTCTTCAGATTTCTTTTCAAAGCCAGGCGTCTTGTCTCCTTGGGTTTAGCACACCACCACGACAGGGCAGTGCAGTTCATGACCTGGGGGCTGCAGAAAGCAAGAAGAGTTTCTCACCGTTCAAACAGAAAAAGCAAGTAATTCTGCGTAAACCCTGGTCCCATGAGCTGCACTCTGGAGGTGCCCCAAATCTTTGAAAGCTTGAACCTTGCCCGACATGGATTTATAACATCTGAGCTACAGTGTGCTAGCTCCTGAGATGAACATCCTTGTGGGCAGTGAGGGCGAGGCAGCGTAATCTGCTCTCTCCACAGGTTATCTGCACATCCACGGGGAAGCTGGCATAGAAACTAGCACGCTCACAGTTCCTGCCCTCAATCAGTTTATTTTAACTTGTGAATTTGCACAAACCTGAATAACTAGGAGAGTTGCATGAGATAAGGTGGCTAAGGGATCCATGTTAGGCATGGTGACCAGTTACAAAGGAGAGCAGATTTACCCTTTGTATGGTTTTTGTTCCCAAGACAAGAGTACACAGCACAGAAATGAGGTCGACGCTCTCCTATTTCATGTGGAAATCCAGAGTACGAGTGACTCGCTACTCAACCTGTTCAGCTGCTGTAAGACAGCATGACCATTTCTTAAGTTGTTAAAACCATGAATAATTTTAAAAACTCAGCCCAGTAGCAAGACATCTAAATTACTGCTTGGTGTCCATTTGTCCTTAGCAAAGGACATCACTCGAAGTGATGCTAGGCACTATAAAAGGCACTGAGGTCCTGTGTGCGCTGAACTCTGTAAAATCACATCTCACCAGGAGACACTGCACGTGGCCGTGAAGAGGCTCCAACCTAAAAAAGCATGTCCCATTTCCTCACAGCTGAGGGGCGGCAGGCTTGCGGTATTTGCACTGGATCCATACTCGATACATCGTCATTTGTTTCCCACGGTTCACTTGCAATCGCCGATCAACCAGATTCTGGATTTTCTCCAGCCCAGCTGTTGTGAAGAGATCATCTAATTCATCTGGAAGCAGAGAGAAGGAGATTGAGGATGCCACAGCTTTCATTTAACTGATACCTGCTCACCCTGAGGAGTAAATTACGCTGAAAGATGGGCCAGAGGAAACTCACGGTCTCACTCTGTCAGGAAAACGTAAAAATCAGAGAGGACTTAACTACCGTACTGTGGGGGGATTAAGATCACAGTTTCTCTAGTTTCCCTTGAGTTTACCTTCTACCAAGGAAGGAAAGAATTATTTGCAGGACCACTAGAATTACAGAGACTCAACAAAGAGAAAACAGCAGCAGTTTCAGACACAGATATTGCTGCTAGTAGCCAACTAAGGGAGCATCTTCTGGCGAGTAGGGACAGACCCATCCCTTCCCCCTTACTCCTCTCTGCAGAGGAATTTCAGAGTCTGCAAGAGCAAAGGACGGGATCAGACCTATGCTCTTAAATGGTGGCAATAAGATCCGTGCTGTAGAGGCTGGAAGGGAGCAGGATTCATTAAGGTTAAGTTTGGGAAAAAAAAAAAAAATCCTTATAAAACCACACCCTGCTGGGGCCCAATCAAAGCACTACAAGCCCTGAAGGCTGCAACACTTCCACTGGCAGGTATTCCTGACCCAGCACAGAAGTATCGTAGTGCCCCAGCACACTGGCCGTGGGCAAAGCCAGACTGAGTCCTGCCGAGCAGCAGAGAGCTTGTTCAACGGCAGCCTGGGAGCACGTGATTCGTGTGGAGTTTCTGTAGAAAAGGGCTAACAGGTCCCAGCTTGTGCTCTTTTATCAGATGCTTGCCATCGTGAAGCGTTTGCCAAACACGCATTAAACATTAATTTTGTTGTGACAAACAAGACTCGTGCAGAGGGGAAGGGAATAGCTCATCGCAGTTGTGCCACTGCTGTAAAACTGACCATGCGGAGGGGCCCGCGATGGCAGTGGCTGGAGGTGCAATCGGTGATAAGCAGGGAGAACACAACGCCTGCGGAACACCAGCAGCAGCAGAACTGGAGAGGCTGCCTTGGCTCTCTGATGAACCACACCCTTCTTCACTTCCTCGTAGGAGAACAGTAAAGTTAAGAGAAGCTCCTTCAAGTGGTGTCCATCTTACTCCATCCTCTGCAAGCAGCAAGACTCCAAGGAGGTCTCCTCCAATCCCACTGTTCCCAGCATAGCAAACGCATTAATCTTTCTCTAAAAGGATTTTCTGCTAAGGAATTCACTGTGCCATATTCGCATCAGCAAGGGACAAGCCCAGGTCCCTGTGCAACTGGGAGACACTTTACATTTGACACTGCTCCAGGAAACAGGCTGGGAAGAGCCAGTGGCAAAACTTGAGGGCACAGGGACAAAAGAAGCGAGGAGAGTCAGAGGGATGTTTTCTAGCCTCCTACCTTGTGTGAAGAAGTACACTCTGGTGCCATCACCTCTCACATAGAAATTATCAGACAGACATTGACCTAAGGGCAAGAGGGATTTAAAGAGTTAACCACCTATCATTTAAAAATCAACAACTGCCATCCAACAAGAGGCACTTTTTCCAGCACACGCTGTGCTAAACAGGATAGACACTACTCCAGAGAAGCATCATCTATTAGCGATCTGGCAAGACTCCCCAGGGGAAAAGAAAATACCTTTCTTAAACCGAAGCTGGGCCAGATCGTAACGGCCATAATCTCGTAACAAAATCATTCCTCCTGGTTTCAGAAGGCGACTCAATCTGTTCACGATGCACTGCATCCTGAGGAAAGAACAAAACAGAAGTGTTCAATATTCTGTAAAATTATGCTTGTTTCCTTAGTTTACTTTCCAAAGAGAAAGTATGAAGTTTTACATATGTTTCAGCTTCATATAAAGAGCCACCAAAAGCTAGAACGTTTCTGAGCTCTCTCAGGCTTAGGTGGGTTGATTTTATTTTATTTCTGACACTCCCTGAGATTCTGCTTCTTTTTCTACAATGATAACTTAGCCTGCCACAGCAGGGACTAACTGCTCTCTCTTACTAATTACAACAGCATCTCCACTGGTTTCTGTAAAACAAGTAATAAGTGAACTTGAAGAAAAATGCTGTGAAATAAAACCAAAGAGAACAAAAAAGAGAGACTAGTGTAGGTTGTAACACAGTCACACTAAGATCACAGCACTTTTCTTAACCCTTTTCTGAACCTGGGCCCTCCCTTCTTGCCACCTCCCATATGAGAAATTCATCTAGCCTTTGAGTCTTAAAACATAGCAGCACACTTTCCACAAATGGGTGCTGAGTGCTCACGTGGCTGGGGTTCAGAACAGGTGAGCCACTCTGACCGCAGCAAGATGTCATCTGTAGCCACCTCGCACTTCAAAATCCCACCTGTCCTATGCCAGAATTGTTACAACAGAAAGTACCTCCAAATTTCATTTTCAGAGGTTTAATGGAAAACTGGACCCCACACAGAACAAACTTTAATTTTCCTTGATATGAGGGGACCTGCTACTAAAAAACTCCAGCTCTATATACGTTATCTTCTGAAACCAGAAGGAATTATTAGAACTTACTTCTCTGGGAGAATCGCTGAGAGGACAAAGATAAGAATAACAATGTCAAGACTCTCGTCTGGCATTGGGAAAGGACTTTGGTCATTGCACAGGTCGTGGACAAAGGCAAAGCAGCGAGAAGAATCATATTCTGCGTTGTTCTGTATTTAAGAGGAGAGAAATTAGAGCATTAGCAACAGACCCTGATCTTGATATTATCCGGACACGGGAGCATTTTAACTTTCACATAATAAGCTGGTGTGTCCACAGATCTGTTCCAGCCTCACTGGACTAAGGCAGATGGGATCAGATAGGTTCCCTGGTCAGACAAGGAACAGGGGTGAAATGTGAAAATAAGTACACACGGGAAATTTACAAAGAGCTTTGGACTTGTTACATTCAGACAATCAGCACTGCCAAAACCCCAAAATTGGATTGAGGGATTATTGCAATTTTAAGGTCAGATTTTCCACTAATTTCCACTGTTAAACTGGAAATCTTTACAGAAGAGAGCATGTCAGAGCCCCTCTCTGCATCACGGAAATCAATATTCATTTCAACTGCAATCAGGCTACTCCCTATACCCCAAGAATCAAACCTGGCTGCCTAAAATTATGCTCTTAAAAATCACATTTAGATTTCTAAAATAAGTTGTCTATTTTTCTAAAGCTGCTGCTACAGATTGCAGCAGCCTCTGTAAACAGTGCTTGTGTCACCTTAAGAGGATGAAATGGCATACTGCCTCTGCTGCTGCGCTCCCCGTCTCTTCTCATGAAGTGACTGATTACATTCGATGCTTCATATATTCTCAGTTCTGTTCTGACCTGAAATTTGTTAGCAGAATTTGGCCTTTGACTAAATCCCAGCCTCCTGCTCTGCAGACAACAGTATCCCTCCTCAGCTGTCCGAGCAGAAGCAATCAGACCACGTTCCCAGAACTGCAGTGACAGTAACGCACACACAAACCAAAACCAGCTTCAGTTCCTGTTAAAAAATAGCC